ATTGCATGCAAACATGAATGTCATAACACTATACTTTAAAGACCTCCTGAGTTAGTAATATGTATACAAAACTGAGCAGTCAGTTTAGATGTAAGTAAGGTTATTGTGAAGTGTACCTACTTCCAGTGTCCTGCCTACAGTCCAGGGCCAGACTCCCGGACTCACACACTCGTAACAGGACAAGCACCACAGTGATGACAATGATACACAACTGGTGTCTGAGCATATCCATACTGAACAGTTTATCTGACTACGATTTGTAAACTTAAAAGTCTCTTTGATTTGCTCCAGTTGATTTTATAGATACGGAACATATCCAAATTAAAGGTTTTAAATGTTTCCACACGTTAGACGAATATTCAGCACAGTCAGCTCACAGAAATGTTTGTCAGTCAGCAACGTCCTGATATTAAAGTCACCACCTCGTTGTAATATAATGTTACAGGTAATTGTTTTACAGGTAATCATGTGCACACTTAATGATGAACATGGGTTCCCTATACTGAGTGATGAGTGTCAAACAAGATTCCTGTATTTATGTATCATCCATCATGTCCCCACGCAGGGAGATACACCTATCAATTGACTTTTAAAATTTGTCAAAAATGCAAAAAATTTCAGCTTATGTGCTTTTGAAATAGAGTAGCTTCAGGCAATACTATATCCTGATATCAATATGTGAATTTAATCACTATATATTGAGAAGACTCAGCCATCCTAGCTTGTTAACATTGGGTGGGCTGGTCACGACATCCTTCAGCCAATGGTATCTTGTACAAAACTGAACTGTCTTGACGTGGGATGATACTGACGTGATACTGACGTGGGATATGATACTATCAATGTGTTCAGTGACGTACATGTGACTTATGTTCTGAATGTGAGCATCAGAGGAAGTGGATTGACACTACCATATTGGGGACATTAAAAATAGAAATTCTCTGTATTGTGTGTTCAGAATATCATACACTATAGCATGTATGTGTGCCTCATACAACTCCTTGCTGAAAACAGCAATGTCCATTGAAAGAATGTTTGGAGATATACCTACCATGTAAGCCAATATGTTTTCCTTTTGTTTAAGGGATGTCTTTCTGTTTGTTCTTGTCTGTTTTTGTTTACAATACATTGTTAACAAAACGAAACCTTTACATATAATACAGGGAAACTATGCTCGGAAGGGAGAAAAACCACAGTTATGCTAGCTATGTAAGATGCTGGTCACACGTTGCAACCATGTTTATACCTCATAGGCAATTACTTGTTGACTAAAGCTGTTTGTAGGGTACATCTTTCATCAAAGACAATGTAATAACGTAATTCTTTGAAAACAAAGTTATCTACCTTGACATACAACACAGACATATCTGTCATGTTGCAATTTTTTTATCCAGTTTGTAATGACGTTTCCTGAAAGGATGAAGCCGAATAAACTGAACATCAAGCAAACAGATTACCACACAGCCTTGTTTCCGCTCCGTGTTGTGATGAATCTCATTTGATAGCATTGTTTGTTCTATAAAACATATGGGGCAAATGATCTTTGACACCAAGACTGTGAGACATTAAAATGAAAGACAAACATAAGTTTGATTGTATCCTGGTCTCCTTGAACAAGACATCCTCCTATTGTTTCAGTCTACCCAACAGTACAAATGTATAAAGCAAAATTATATATGAGAAGTTTCTGTTGTGCAATGACTAGCTCTGCTACTGTTTTAACTCTCGTAGATCTATCGGTAAGTTTATGTCTGAATAAGCACTAAAGACTGTTCATACATACATGTAGTAAGTGTATACCTGCTTGTGGGTTGGAGATTTCAATTGTTTTCTATGTTAACCCTTAAAATCCCTGGAACAACTAGGAAGGGACCCTTGATCCAATCCTGGTAGCATGAATCTGTTCATCTCTTCATGTCTACTATGTGTGTGTGTAAAAATATTACAGTTTTTATACATGAATATTGAGGACCGGGATTATAGTGCAGCACTACACTCACAAAAGGCGCCATTACATCTCCAGCCCTAAGAGTCACATCAACTGCATTTATACAACACTGAGCCCCCTTGGCCCAAGGGTGCCCAAGACGAAATTCAGTTAAAATCTTTTTGTTGGTACTGAAAGAGTAGGTTTAAAAAATTACCTTTGGGCAGCTGAGCTAACTAAAACTGTAAGCCAAAGGCTAACTAATACCCCCGCTGCTATATAAACCAGAACTGTAAGTTAAAGGCTTACTAAGGCAAAGCATTGCAAAGCAATCCATAGTCTCCCACCAGTAACAAGTATTTCGCACAAAGGGGCATACCTCCATCAAAAATCCCAAATTAAAATGAGGGTGTACAACTGCATAAGATACCGATCATTCATGCAAAGTTTCACTGAAATCCACCTGTTAGATAAGGAGGAGTTTCGCAGACAATTATTTCGCAAAAGGGGGCATAACTCCATCAAAAAGGGTCAAAATCCCAAATTAAAATGCTGGTGCAAAACTACATAAGATACTGATCATTCATGCAAAGTTTCAATGAAATCCACCTGTTAATTAATTAAGGAGGAGTTTTCCGGACAAGTTACTGTGGACAACGACATCCAGACATCCAGACAGGGTGATTCCAGTATACCCCCCCTAACTTCGTTGCGGGGGTATAATAAACTTGAAAGCCTTTAGTCCTTGCATGATACAGGCCTAATATCATTACTCTAGACTTCTTGGTTGTTTAGAAGAAGTTGTTTAAAGAAAACAGGTAAAGCTTGATGGACACCAAAACAGGGCACACATGTAAGCTCACTTGCCTTTCAAGCAGGTGAACTAAAATTTCAAAAATTGGACTTCCAGTTAAGAATATTCTCTTCATCTCTGACTCTGTTGATAAATGATTCTAGTTAAAGGAATTTGTGTATGAGAGGGTCAAAATGGAGGGTACTGTGTGGGTATTGAATTGACAATTCATAATTTGAGTATCTTAATGCAGAGTTCAGCGTGTTAAAGGGTCTGGAAGAGGGCTGGTTCAATGTGTGGAGGGAGGGTCTGGAGGTGGCTGGTTCAATGGATGTGTGGAGGGAGGCTGGTTCAATGGATGTGTGGAGGGAGGGTCTGGAGGGAGGTTGGTTCAATCGATGTGTGGAGGGAGGGTCTGGAGGGAGGCTGGTTCAACGGAGGTGTGGATGGAGGGGCTGGAGGGAGGCTGGTTCAATGGGTGTGTGGATAGTCTTGAGGGAGGTTGGTTCAAAAGGGTGTGTAGAGGGAGGGTGAAGAGGGAGGCTGGTTCAATGGAGATTTGGAGGGAGGGCCTGGAGGGAGGTTGGTTCAATCAATATGTGGAAGGAGGCTGGTTCAATGAATGTGCGGAGGGAGGCTGGTTCAATGGGTGTGTGGAGAGTCTGGAGGGAGGTTGGTTCAAAAGGGCGTGTAGAGGGAGGGTGAGGAGGGGGGCTGGTTCAATGGAGATTTGGAGGGAGGGTCTGGAGGGAGGTTGGTTCAATCGATGTGTGGAGGGAGGGCCTGGAGGGAGGTTGGTTCAATCAATATGTGGAGGGAGGCTGGTTCAATGGATGTGTGGAGGGAGGCTGGGTCAATGGGGGTGTGGAAGGAGGATCTGGAGGGAGGCTGATCCAATGGATGTGTGTCGGGAGGATCTGGAGGGAGGCTGGTTCAATGGGGGTGTGGAGAGTCTGGAGGGAGGTTGGTTCAAAAGGGTGTGTAGAGGGAGGGTGAAGAGGGAGGCTGGTTCAATGGAGATTTGGAGGGAGGGCCTGGAGGGAGGTTGGTTCAATCAATATGTGGAAGGAGGCTGGTTCAATGGATGTGCGGAGGGAGGCTGGTTCAATGGGTGTGTGGAGAGTCTGGAGGGAGGTTGGTTCAAAAGGGTGTGTAGAGGGAGGGAGAGGAGGGAGGCTGGTTCAATGGAGATTTGGAGGGAGGGCCTGGAGGGAGGTTGGTTCAATCAATATGTGGAAGGAGGCTGGTTCAATGGATGTGCGGAGGGAGGCTGGTTCAATGGGTGTGTGGAGGGAGGATCTGGGGGGAGGCTGGTTCAATGGGTGTGTGGAAGGAGGATCTGGAGGGAGGCTGGTTCAATGGGGGTGTGGAGAGTCTGGAGGGAGGTTGGTTCAAAAGGGTGTGTAGAGGGAGGGTGAAGAGGGAGGCTGGTTCAATGGAGATTTGGAGGGAGGGCCTGGAGGGAGGTTGGTTCAATCGATGTGTGGAGGGAGGGTCTGGAGGGAGGCTGGTCCAATGGGTGTGTGGAGAGTCTGGAGGGAGGTTGGTTCAAAAGGGCGTGTAGAGGGAGGGTGAGGAGGGGGGCTGGTTCAATGGAGATTTGGAGGGAGGGTCTGGAGGGAGGTTGGTTCAATCAATATGTGGAAGGAGGCTGGTTCAATGAATGTGCGGAGGGAGGCTGGTTCAATGGGTGTGTAGAGGGAGGATCTGGAAGGAGGCTGGTTCAATGGAGATGTGGAGGGAGGGTCTGGAGGGAGGCTGGTTCAACGGAGGTGTGGATGGAGGGGCTGGAGGGAGGCTGGTTCAACGGAGGTGTGGATGGAGGATCTTGAGGGAGGCTGGTTCAATGGTTGTGTGGAGGGAGGGTCTAGAGGGAGGCTGGTTCAAATGGTTGTGAGGAGGGAAGGTCTAGAGGGAGACTGGTTTAATGGGTGGGTGAAAGGATGGGCCTACAGACCACATATGCAGTCACAGAACGTTTCCCTCAGATACATCCATAAACGATTTAATGAAGTAATGGATGAAACAATATTTCCACAAAACATTGCTGTGCATCCCTATGTTACTTGATGACCCAGTATTATGAACCTTTGCATGTTTCACACCCATAATTCAATCATTACAGCTATCTAACATCAATTATTGCGAACGGAAGCATAATCAGATAATTCCCAACAGAGCGTGTGACCCACCGATCCTACAGATCCTACGATCCATAAATCCACCCACCCATCACATGGCCTCCTGTGTGAGCAATTAAAACAAAAACTTGTAACTCACCTGCAAGCTGAAGTAGTAGGGGTCCCAGCAGCAGTAGTAGCACGGCACGAGTCCTTAGCATACTTCGTCCCTCTAATCACCTTGATGACATTCAGTCAGGCTACCTGAAGCAGTAAAAACAGTCTCATCAATCATTGACCATCATTCTGTTTTACGCCCACTACTCCCTGCATGCCTTGCTGCACATCCCGTACTGGTAACGTAACACACACGCAATATCGTACACGGAATTGATTGAATAAGCACATATAGATTCGGAATCTTTAACGGGACATTTCTGGGAGTGGGCTTCATCATCTATTACAGACAACTAATTATTTTATAGAAACATTAATGCATTTATAGTTAATTTAATGTCCTTGACGATAACATCTAGCAGGACATTGATCATTTGGATTGTAATTGGTTGGTCCAATCACCATTTTAAACCCTGAACAAGGCATCATTATCAAGGCACTAATTCACCTGTAATGTAGGCTCTGTAATGACCATTTTACCACATTAACCTTCACACCAGTGAATTCAAGGGCACTGAAGCAGAATATCAGAATTTACGAGAAATACATGCCATATCATTGCTATCTCGACCCGATGAGTGAGGTTAAAAAAGCAGTCCTGTGTTCAGTCATTATGATAAAAAGGGTTGGTTTCATGATGCAGTGGATCGCACTCGACTTTCACCAGGACAACCAGAATTTGATTCCCTGATCAAACATGAGAAGATAAAAGGTTACCTGCCGGAACACTCAGGTTTTCCCAGACTCCTCTGGTTTCCTCCCACCCCTGCATCATTCCACCTCGGTCAACAACAGTGATTAATAAATATGACTTGTTTAATTATAGTTGTAATATTTATAAAGTTTATATTTTAGGTCATAATACAGTTGACTTTCTTAGACTTCCAAATACTGTACATTTGTAATCTTCAAAATGATTTTATACACCCAGACATAAAGTACATGTTTTAGCAGTAGTTTTAATATAGTGCTCTTTTAGGATTTCTGATTGTGCTAAGTTATGAATGCACCAACTGAAGATCTTGGATATTGTTCTTTATAGGATATTTTTGGGGTGCGCCATTTCATCAATGCACTGATCTATTATTATTTGAGAATCCGCTAAAATTTGAGTGCACTAAAATAAGTAAGTTTACAGTATATTTTGTACTTTGTTACCTAGCCACAGGCCCTAGATTTTAACCCATGCTCCTATCTGGAGTTTATCATTTTCAGCATTTCCCTCTGCCTGAGGACATAAAGCTTTCATCAGAATGTATATGACATGTCCAGGTTTTCTGTTGGTTCAGTTCTTGAACAAAATGACAAGTGATCACATCTTTTAATACACTGATATGGCAAGAGATATTTATCTAACTGGTATTTTCTGAGAGAGATTCCAAAAATCCATAACGCACATGCAGATAATTGTCATTCTGTTTCAGTACAATATGTTTTATAACGATTCTCTGTCATTGATAGATTGGCTTGCCCAGGGGACAGTAACTGTCTCAGCTTCATTGTCATACAGACAGCTGGTGGATCAAGACAACTGTCACAGCTGATTACCAGCAAATCAAAATGTTTCGTTCAATCATGAATAAAAGCAACTATTATTTTAAAAGTTTTTAGAACAAAAGCACTCATGGAATAATAGGCAGATAATGTTATAAAGTCAGATACAGTATGAATTGGATGTGCTGACATTCCATGTCCTCCATTAGCCAATGCAGACTGGCCATCAATCAACTTCTTGTTAGGACATGACAAAACTTTTACCACAAAACCTTACCACAAAACCCACAATACCACATCTGATTGTAACACTATGATCTAACAAGTTAACTGTCCACTTAGCCTTCTCCCTCCCTTCTGTGTACCCATCACAACATACTTAAAAGGATCAAGAAACCTAACAGAAATTTAGATGGATTTAACTTATTCTGAANGGGGGGGGGGGGGGGGGGGGGGGGGGGGTTTCGGCTGTGAGGATCACCAACATGTTAACAGCTGATCCCTTGTATCATTCATCTGTTATCAGGATCCTCCCAACCAACCAACACACTGTTGAAACTTTCTCATCAATATAGATGATAGGAGACAAGGAGGGGATGATGAACCAACACCCAGTAGTGTATCCATAGCCAAGGGCACCTGCTGACCTCCCTCTGTAGCACAGGGGCCTGACACATTGATATTCTTTATCAGTTTCATGGTCTAAGGAGGCTGAGGCCCATTGTGGTCTATAAGGTATCCAATACACAGAACCTCCATCTCCCCTACTTTAATTTCTTGACACTAAACATGTCCTCTACATCTATAAATAGGCTTTTGATCTTTATCAAAGATATAAATAAACTTTAACATCCCTATGTGGAACTGCTTGACTGAATTCCTTAGTTATCACACAAACCACATACTACACCCACACAGTTGTGCCACGCCCACAATGGCACCACACCCACACATAAACATTTCTCCAAATAACAAATGATCAGGAGTCATGTAATTCTACACTAGAAGCAGCAGTCATTACATATCGCACAAAATGTAACACAACCTATTAGTAAGATACTTTTGAGACTTAGATTTAACAGCTTTTTCATCTATATACACACATGTATATAACAATTATATATTATAACACTTCATTACAAAAACATATTAGAATATCTTAATTAACACTTCAGGGAAATTAACTTCATATCATTTGTTAGGAAAGCGTCTCACAATCAGTTAATTTAGAGAAATGCATTATATCATTTGACTCTTAAGGGAAATACTTCATATCATTTGACTCTTAGGGAAATACTTCATATCATTTGACTCTTAAGGGAAATACTTTATAACATCTGTTACCTAAAGGAATTTGTCTCACCATCTGTAAATTTAGTATTTTATACCATTTGACACTTCAGGGATATACTTAACATGAATTGAAACATTTGGGGATGAGCCTTTATCGTAAACACTTTAGGGAAAACAAAACATCCTTGGAGATCAGGGAATTATCAGCACACACTTCTTACACATTACGTAAAATAATCAAAACTGTTTTCTACTGAAGAGTTGCCGATTTAACCAATATGTAACATTAAATACAGATTACTGATCCACAAACCATAGGTCACAGTTAATACAACTTATTCAGGTCATTACGATGAATAGATTATTATCCACTTTCTGGTTATGTATTTATCCCTGGCAATGGAGTGTTGTGCCTACAAGAGACTTGTAATCCGACTCATCAATACTAGCATACCTCTAATGGCTGGCCCTGATAGAGCACCGCTGAGTACTGAAGCAGGATACATGGAACAGCAGCCATTGCAGTCACACACAAAAACACAAATAAACATCCATCAAAATTTAAAAAAAAACACCAATTGATAGAAACCATAACCGATTACACAGTCTTGAGATTCCTGTGATGGGAGACTGTGGCTTGTAATTTGATTTGTAGTTTTAGTTGACAGGTACAAATCGGAACTCAATTACGGTTAACGCCATATGGTATGATGGAGATTCCATCTGTCTATTACAGGCGACACTTGAGTATAATTTTGAGATGTAATTGAAGATTCTGACAGAAAAATGTTCTACAATCAATTTACAATCTATTTTCCAGGTTAAGGGATCATTTGTGAAGTTGTCCTGACTTCCCCATCTTTTCTCGTTGGGACCTGTCTTCACTTCAACAAACTGCTACAGAGCAAAACAGTATAACACACCAACTTTCCATCACTGTGATACATAAAATTCTCTGTAACTGGATTCAGTACACAATTACAGATTTCTCAAACACCCCATGGACAATAAAGACAGGAGGTTTATCATGGGACAAGGGCAGAGTTATTATGGAACAGGGTAGTGTAATCATGGAACAAGCATATGGTAATAATGGGATAATGGCAGGGATATCAAGGAGCAAGGGTAGGTTAATCATGGGACAGTTATAGAATAATCATTGGACAATCGCAGGGCTATAATGGAACAAATTAAATTGGTAGCTAATAGGGTAATCATGGAACAAGGACTTGGTTATCATGAAACAATAGTAGGGTAATCGTGGGACAATGGGAGGGCTATCATGGAACAAGGGCAGGGTAATCATGGGACAATGGAAGGGCTATCATGGAACAAGGGCAGGGTAATCATGGGACAATGGCAAGGTTATCATTGTTCAAAGACAGGGTTATCACGGCAACAATGGCAAGGTTATCATGGGACAATGGCAAGGTTATCATTGTATAAAGACAGGGTAATCATGGCGACAATGGCAGGGTAATCATAGGACAAAGGCAAGGTTATCATTGTATAAAGACAGGGTTATCATGGCGACAATGGCAGGGTAATCATAGGACAATGAAGGCTATCATAGGACAATGGCAAGGTTATCATTGTAAAAAGACAGGGTTATCATGACGACAATGGCAGGGTTATCATGGGACAATCGCAAGGTTATCATTGTATAAAGACAGGGTTATCATGGCGACAATGGCAGGGTAATCATAGGACAAAGGCAAGGGTATCATTGGATAAAGACAGGGTTATCATGGCGACAATGGCAGGGGAATCATAGGACAATGAAGGGTATCATAGGACAATGGCAAGGTTATCATTGTATAAAGACAGGGTAAGCATGGCGACAATGGCAGGGTAATCATAGGACAATGAAGGCTATCATAGGGCAATGGCAAGGTTATCATTGTAAAAAGACAGGGGTATCATGACGACAATGGCAGGGTAATCATAGGACAATAAAGGCTATCATAGGACAAAGGCAAGGTTATCATGATTCCAGTGTAATCATGGGACAAAGAGGGTTATCATGCAACAAAGTTAGGGTGATAATAGGATTGAAAACAGGGGACAAGGGTAGTACTAAGATGGGGTGAAGACAAGGTTATGATGGTACAATGGCAGGGTTATCATGGGACAAAGATAGGCTAAAGTCAGGGTTACTGTTAATGGGACAAAAACAGGGTTATCATGAAAGTATTAGGACAATGTCCTTTTAGGACAAAGATGGGATCACCATGGACACTCAGGTCAAGGTTGTCATATAGGACAAGGGCAGGGTTATCATTTTCAAGAACAAGGAAAGA